GGTGCAGCCCCCCCGGGCCTGGGCCGCGGGGCTGTCAGTGCCCTGGGTTTGCCGAGGCTGCTTCTGTCGTGTTGAGGTGCTGCTCGGTTTCGGTAGGGCAGGTGTCTTTCCTGACAGGTAAATGTAACGAGGAGCGTTCCCCGGCGGGTCAGGGATGGGGCTGGAAGGCTTAAAAGCTGCTCGGCGGGGGGTGTGGGGTGTTCCTGTGGTGCCTGCTTGGAAGGGGAATTCTCAGGGAGGGTACTGATCGAAAGCGGGTTTGGGGACGAATCATAACAAACTTGGTTTATACCGAAGTGTGCAGACTCCCTTGGTCTGAATGAGTGAATCAAAACGTGCTCTTTCAGTTGCATGAAGTGAAGCAGGAGCTCTGGAAATGCTGTGCTCGTGACAGCTGGGGAAAAAAGCTGCCTGGAGTAAATACCTTTCTGTCCAGCCGTTGGTTGTTGTTTGATCACCCTGTAAGGACGCTGACATGTCCAGTTGTTCCATACCTAGAACTCATCCTTGGCATACTCTGAAGCTGTTTTCCTTGTCCTTCAAAATATTTTTTTATATTTGCTTAATGCTGAAGAAAAATGCCATCTGCATACATTAAAAAGCAATCCAGGCAGGAGAAAATCAATCAAGTTTAAATGTACAGAATCACAGAACGTTAGGGGTTGAAAAGGACCTCTGGAAATCACCCAGTCCAACCCCCAGTTCAGTATTATGTCTAAACTGATGCTTTAAAAAAACTGCTTTTATTAATAGTGTGGCTTATGAAATGTTCTTTTGTGCCTAAGAAGTGTGTTACAAGAAGTAGCTGCTAATACTTTTTTTGTAGTGACTGAGCAGCTGGAAGGCAGAACGGAGAGGGCTGTTTCAGAGCAACACTTCAATTATACTGAACGTGGACAGGTTTCTTCTTTGCAGTTCTTTGTCTTATTATTTTTGCAGCCTTGCACGTAATAAAATCTGATCATCTTGGCTAGAAATCCAGTAATCCTGTTATTCATGCTTGTGGTGCTATACAGTGACTGTTTGCTTAACCTTTCTGGCTTGAGTTGCTGGGGAAGTTATTTGAGTTTATTGTGTGATACTGAGTTAGTGTTGCAGGGGAGAGTCTAATTCTTAAATATTTGTCTGTCTTACTACCTGAGTTGTATATTAAAGTTAAGTGATTGCAGTTCAACAGGTGCTTAGACATTTCCTTGATGAAAGTTAAAATATTTTTTTTCTATTTTTTCTGTTGCAGGTTGAAAATGTGAAGTTACTGGATCGTTACACAAACAGGAAGGCAGCAAATGGGACGTTGTACCTGACAGCCACCCACCTGATCTATGTAGATGCTTCTGCTGAAGTCAGAAAAGAAACATGGGTATGTTGTGATACCTGGAGTCTGCTTAAGCACAAGTATAAGAATTGCTTTGTATCTCATATCCAAAATGAATAGGTTTGTGAATTCCAAAGTTGTATTGGTCTTTTATAGCATCCTGATACCAAATGCTTAAACGTAAACAGCTGTTTTGGAAGGAAATTGTCACAGTGGTGATGTGGCCTGATAGATCTCACTCATGGAATTAATGTTAGTTTCAAGAGCAGAAGAAATCTTGTCTGGTTTCCTGTCTCAAACTCTGTATGCCAAGCCACCAAACTTGAATATAAAGCTTTTAGAAGTGCTAAATAGCACTGAAATTTGCCTTTTTCATTCTAAAGTAAAATGGGAATGACAAAATACATTCCATAGAGGGTGGAGGGAAAGCAAAGTGAACCAGGTAAACTGAGCTGCACATCAGTCTTTCAAAGTAATTTAGGTACCTCTTTTTTCAGTCTTGCTCTCAGGTACTTAGCCTTTAGGCATGCAGTCTGGCTGTTTATTATGTTTGTTTGATAAATACCACAAATAAACTCATTTTCTACTGCTGGTTAGACTCAGTAAGCATTAATAGCTGGTTGTATTGCAAGAATTTGATACATACTTTTGGTGCTTGCAGCCATATCAGTGGCTTCTGAAAAATGTTATTTATTTCCTGTTTTTCAGATTCTGCACCACCATATTGCAACTGTAGAAAAATTGCCCTTGACCACGGCTGGATATCCACTCCTTATTCACTGCAAGAACTTCCACATGGCTCACTTTGTTATTGGGCAGGAACGTGACTGTCATGAAGTGTATACCTCCTTGCTTAAGCTTTCACAACCAGGTATTCAGGCTGGGAGTCTGTTTTGCCAGTCCTTGAAGGGTGGAAGCTGGAAGGCTCATTTGAGCCACAGAGCTTCTCCTGCCAGGCCACTGGTTTGTGGTGCCAGTACAGGAAGGGGAGGATGTGAAATCAGGGTCAGTTTCCCCCACCAGAGAGGATCTGTGTGGGCTGGCTCAGTAAGGAGAGTGCTGACCTATAGAGCAGGGCTTTTGCTTCCAGCTCTCTTATGGCAGGG